TGACCCATGACATGCCCTTTTTCTTGCTCGACGGTCAACATTAACACCGAGGGAAACATTATGGTGAGAGCGAGCACCCATATCGCCCCTATTGACACCTTTGCGACAAAGAGCGTGAGTTTGGGCTTGAACGGGTAAACGATGCAGCGAAACCTGGGTTTCAGACGAGGAGAAAACACATACGGAGACGTTAACCCAGATTTACTGCCTTCTACTCTCTGAAATCTTGCACACATACATTTTTATTCATATACTCTCTCTCTGTCTTTCTCTCTCTCTCTCTCTAAAAGTGCTACCCCCAGACCCGGAGATCGGCTGAATGGATTCGAAAACGGTAAAACTTAACTGTTTAACTCTAGGGGAGTCGGAAAATGAGCCTATTTTCAAAAATAGTGACGTGTTCCTTTAAGTAACACTGAAATTTAAACATATGCAATTATGTTTCACTTATATTTCATACATCTTGAGGAGTTTGGGTGGTAGCTCATCCATGAAAATAGTGCAATAACTTTACATTTATAAATAAGAAACATTTTTTCCGGACGAATGACTGAACTCCTTCACAAAAGTTTCAGTGCATTTTTGTAAAAGTGTTAAAGCTTTGCACGGCATCAAAACACTGATATATTTCAGAGTCTCTCCAAACATACATGTTAATTACACTGACCTGCAAGTACTGCCGAGCTCACCCTTTACAGTTCTCGTCTAGTGTTTTCAGCACATAACAGAAACAGCAGCCGTCATAATGACCAGCAGCTCTAACGATGTGCTAATTAGTGCTTCCAGCCGAGCAGCGCACTTCAGATGTGAGCAACGACTGACACAATACCGCTGCTCTATTGTTTCCTTCACAAACGGTTTTTGTTCAATGTTTATTTCATTGCATTCCCAAAATGACAAACACTTACCTGTCCACAGCAATGGCGACTAATGTGAAAACGGAGGCACAGACGGACGTTCCTTGCACCAGACCACTCAGTTTGCATATCGTGTTGCTGAAAGGCCAACCTGACAAAGACAGAAGCAGGATCACATGAAATCTAGAAATTCAGTTAACTAAACTAGATGTTGATGTTGGCTTGAGAGAGCCTTGTCTGAATGTTTGAAATGACTTTAAAAGCTTTGAAGGTTGTACTCAGAAAGACAGTTGGTAACCTTTTAACAAAATGTTAGTAGCATGTTAACATAACATAACGTTATTAGACTGAATTAACATGTTGATATTTTTGCTACCACCATTTACCACATTGTTAGCATGATTTAACGTTTCTAACACGTTTTAGCAAGTTGCTAACATGATTTAGCATTTTGTTAACATGTTTAGCAAGTTGCTAACGTTTTAATATGTTGCTAACAAATTGCCAGCATGTTTCAGCATTATGCTAACAAGTTTTACCATGTTGCTAGCATTATTTAGCACGTTGCTCGGATGTTTTAACATGTTGCTAACATGTTTTACCTAGTTGTTGATGTTTTCATATGTTGTTAACAAATTGCCAGCATATTTTAGCATTTTGCTAACAAGTTTTGTTGCTAGCATGATTTAGCATTTTGCTCGCATGATTTTACATGTTGCTAACATGTTTTACCTAGTTGTTGATGTTTTCATATGTTGTTAACAAATTGCCAGCATATTTTAGCATTTTGCTAACAAGTTTTGTTGCTAGCATGATTTAGCATTTTGCTCGCATGATTTTACATGTTGCTAACATGTTTTACTTGGTTGTTAATGTTTTAATATATTGTTAACAAATTGCCAGCATGTTTTAGCATTTTGCTAACAAGTTTTGTTGCTAGCATGATTTAGCATTTTGCTCGCATGATTTTACATGTTGCTAACATGTTTTACTTGGTTGTTAATGTTTTAATATATTGTTAACAAATTGCCAGCATGTTTTAGCATTTTGCTAACAAGTTTTACCATGTTGCTATCATGATTTAGCATGTTGCTCGCATGTTTTAACATGTTGCTAACATGTTTTACCAAGTTGCTAACATTTTAATATGTTGCTAACAAACTGCCAGCATGTTTTAGCATTATGCTAACAAGTTTTACCATGTTGCTAGCATGATTTAGCATTGTTGCTTGTATGTTTTAACATGTTGCTAACATGTTTTACCTAGTTGTTAATGTTTTCATATGTTGTTAACAAATTGCCAGCATGTTTTAGCATTTTGCTAACAAGTTTTACCATGTTGCTAACATGATTTAGCATGTTGTTTGTATGTTTTAACATGCTGCTAACATGTTTTACCAAGTTGCTAACGTTTTAATATGTTGCTAACAAACTGCCAGCATGTTTTAGCATTTTGCTAACAAGTCTTACCATGTTGCTAGCATGATTTAGCATGTTGCTCGCATGTTTTAACATGTTGTTAACATGTTTTACCAAGTTGCTAACGTTTTAATATATTGCTAACAAATTGCCAGCATGTTTTAGCATTATGCTAACAAGCTTTACCATGTTGCTAACATGTCTTGACAAGTTGCTAACAAGTTTTAACACTAAGTTAGCATTATTTAGCACATTGATAGCATGTTTTAGAACATTGCTAGCATATCTTAATATGTTGCTAGCATGTTTTAAAACATTGCTAACATATTTTAGCACGTTGTTAACATCTTGACAAGTTGCTAGCATGTTGTAACACTATGTTAACCTGTTTTAGCACATTGCTAGCATGATTTAACACACTGATAGTATGTTTTAACATATTGTCAGCATACATTGTTAGTATGTCTTATCAAGTTACTAGCATGTTTTAACACGTTGCTATCATATTTTAACATATTGTCAGCATACATTGTTAGTATGTCTTATCAAGTTACTAGCATGTTTTAACACGTTGCTATCATATTTTAACATATTGTCAGCATACATTGTTAGTATGTCTTGGCAAGTTGCTAGCATGTTTTACCAAGTTTCTAACATTATTTTCAAAGTTTTAACATGTTGTTAACATTTCCTAGACTAGTTGCCAGGCTTTGCTAACGGTAGATAGCCAGACATAATGATCAAACTCACTTTTTACCTGGTGACACCTTAGCAACAGCATAACAACGTCCACCAGTGAGTTTGCACAGGCAAATATCGCTTACATTTCAGAAACTATTTTCTATGTTTTCATGTGCACACAGTAGGCCACGCCTCTCACCTGTGATGAGGTTGTCCACTAGCGTCGTGGGAATGCAGAAGATCCCAACCTCTGTTTTTTGTTTCCGCCACCGGTTAAAAAAAATAAAAAAGGGAATTGCAACTTTTGATCTCATAATTAATAATTTTTTTGCAGTTTTACATTTTTTTCTTAGAATTGAGAGGGGAAAAAACTGAATTGTAAGATAAAAACTCATAAGTGGCATTTAGCAACAAAACACATTGAAATAAAACACATTTAAAAGCATTTGAACCCTGTTGACAGAGCAGCTTTTAAAATCTTTCATTCTGTGATTATTTATAGTTAGAAAACCATTACTGAGGATTGAGGTCACATCTATAAGGGTCTAGATCTCAGAAACTAAGAGGTTTTTAATCAAAACTCCAATTATACAAATGCTTGTTTTCTCAAGCAGTGGATTAATATGCTGGTTTCAAACACATATAATCCAAAACAGTCTTACATTAGAGTGTTTTTTTGTTAATTTGCGTGTTATCCAAATTAAAATTACAATGACACGAACTCAGATTTACAGGTTGTGTTTTTTTTCTCTCATTTAAAATTGCATTATCATTATTATTATCGGGACAAGATGTTTATTATAATTTGTCAATGTACATTTTATTAAGTTATGTTGGATAAAACAATATTTTTTATATTATATTTGCCCCCTTTGCCCCATTTCAGAATTGCTTTACTGTTAAATTTGCTGAAAAAGCTCGTGACAATTTACCCCACATAGTGTGACAACATGCCCCAGATCATTCAACGTCCTCCCCCCAGTACAACAAATATGAAATATTTAATAGCTAAATGTTAATATCTTTGTACGGTTAATTCCTATAGGAACTGTGGTACATGATATGTAAATAAACGCGGTCTGAGGAAAAAATGTGACAACTTGCCCCGATCTTACAACACATCGCACATCTCCCATCTTTTTTTGTTCGCATAGAAATATGAATGTTTAAGACATGTCCAATGTCCTTAAATCCAAACCTTTTTCCACATTATTCAGCAGTGATCTGTGCAAACAGACTGAGAGAACTTCACCACAGGTGCAAAAACTGATCAAAGTAGCAGAAAGAGTTCATAACATTTGTGTTTTATCGGTTAATGTGAGTCACAGAGCTCTTACCTTACTGTCCTTCAGGTCAAAGGGTGAAGTAAAGGCAGTGGTGGAATAAAACAAGTGTAAAAAGAGCTCGATTATGATCGTGTCCGTCTCTGATCCACTCCGCACCCGTCTGAACCCGTTTGTAAATTACTTGACTATTATGCAAAACCTGTTTTTAACTGTAGGGAGAGCTGTAAACAGAGCTTTCAGTAAAATTCATCAGGCGTTAGATTAAATTCAGTTCTCGATTAGAGTATAATCATGAGAATAAATTATCTCAACTTGCAAATGATAAAAAAAGGACATTTCTGACTCATGACCTGAACAAACCGAATCATTTAAATGAACCACTCAAATGAACCGACTCCCTGAATGAATCGCGACATCGCTCACGACAATTTGTTCTTTAGGATGCTGCAATTAATGCAGTGTAATGATTAGACCTGCTGATTAATATTCACTGCCAGAGAAATGACTCTCAAGAATTACTAGGCGTTTATTATGAATGCTAAAACCAATATAATTAGAGAGCGTATTCAGTTTCTCGAGCTAAAATTGACTCACACATATTCAGAATGATAATCATATAATTGAATCATATAAATAACACCCCCCCTAAGAATATATATCAGCTGAGTGCATGTGACGTAAAACAGATAATTAGTGATTTTCTTACTGATGTGTTCATATTAAACCTGGAAATAGCCTTCAGACTACATTATGCAACAGTTTTATTCTCTGAGAAAATGCATGTAAGGTTATTTTATGCTCCATAATGTCATTGCACGAGCTGTTTTTGCTTCTAGCTAAAGATAACAGCTGTTATGTTTGTTCAAATTCAGCAGTACAATGTTTCACATATTCATGCCGGCGTCAGAAAGCATCTGCACATACAGTATGAAATATTAGCAAACACCTTTCTCCTTCCTTCTATCAGTCTTCCTGTTTTATAGACTTATAGAGCTTTATTCTTCTTATCTCTCTATAAATGTTCAGCTTTAACTCCCCAGCTGTGCTCGCTGACATTTTGATGCAGGTTCAGCTCGGATCTCAAAAGGGTTTAAGAAAAGCAGGAGAGACTTTTGTACACAAAAGCAGGAAAGCAAGAGATATGAGCATTTTAAATCAACATTTAGACTCATATTTCCCACCTCCAATGTGTTATTGTTTTAATATCAGCTCTTATACGTTACACATACAGCCTTACTCAAGCCAAAACGCTGTTAAAATCAAATTACTGTTGTGTATATTGCTCTATTCCCTTTATTATTATTATTTTCATCTTTGTTTCTTACTTTTAACACCCGTTTTTATATGTGCAGTGTCTGGTGGCCACATAATCCAGTGAAAATCAGTCAGTGCCGATAAAAATTGTTTCAGTTTCAATCCAGTTTCAAACACATGACTGCTAAAACATTTCCATGTTATCTGGGAAGTCGGAATGGTGTTGTTTACATATATTTAAATGTAAATATGTGTATGTGTATATGTAAAACATATATTTACATTTATATATAATCGTCAAAACACGGAAACTGTCTGCAGATTAACATTATTGTTCTTAGAACCGAAAGGTCATGATTTAAAGAAGTAATTATTGTCTCCTGTTGAAACTCTCAAGTACATATTGTCACGGTTCATGGGTTCACTGACTCATTTTCGCTCTGTGTGTATATGTGTGTGTGAGTGGGTGTGTCGGTGATTGCTGCTGATTGTTGATCTGCGCCAGCTGTAGCTCATCAGCTCAGCTATATAACACCTGTGCTATCCGTCCTGTGTTGTCAGATCGTTTGGTGTTCCTGCTGTGTTCAGTTCTCTGTTCCTGTCCCTCGTCTCATTGGAGTTCGGTTCCAGGATTCGCCCCCAAGGATCGTATGTTCTCGGGATATCCACGGGTGCCCATTTGCGTCCCTGCGCTACCAAGAGTGACTATATCCTGCACATGCCTTGTTTGACTCTTGCCTTTGGTCTGGTTGGGACCTTTTCCTAATAAACTGTTATATTTCACATTCGCAATTGAATCCTCCTTTTGTACCCGTGACACATTTAACACTCCTGCAATGACATTATAATAAATACAGACATTTTGTTTCTAATTTAACTGTATAAACCAAAAATTTAAAAATCTGCTGTAAATGTGCTCACTCTCAGGTCATCCCATCCATTGCTGAGACACTGATGCAGTGCTACATTTCTACAAACCTGATGAAGAAACAAACTCACCTACATCTCTGATGGACTGAGAGTGAGCACATTTTCATGCTTTTAATAAGCTATTTGCTCACCTTCACCAACTACCCGAACAAAACCGAACCAAAACTAGTTTACTGGCTGTCTGTATCTCAGTCTCAGGTGCAAAAGTCCAAAAATGAGATTGTTAAACCTGCTCACACTCTCTCTTCTTCTTCTTCCTTTTTTTTCAATAATGTACAAATAATGATCAGATGTAAATGCAGAGCTGAAGACGTGCATCTGCACAGAGAGCATGAGAAACCCTTCTGAAGGTGTGGAGTCAAGTAGTTTTGAGAAGAAGCATAGCACTATAATTGATCATGAGGCGGTTTACTGAGGTTAACTTGGCAGTTTAATGAAGCTCAGAAAGTCTCACGCAAGCGTCAGAAATGCCGTCCACATTCCCAGCGGCTTTAACAGAATCCCTCTGAACAAACACAGGCCACCAGGGCTGTTATATGTGAGCTAAAATAGCCTTTCCTCTTCCTGTGGGAAGATGCACTAGGCACAATTATTACAAAGCTTGGGTTTCACTGTTTATCTGCTCTGTTTAAACACTTCATCTTCACGTTACCCACAATTTTCTGCAAATAAATCACAAATAGTTTGAAATGGTTCATGCATCTGTTAACTCATTGCTCCTTGTTGTGGAAATAATCACCATTTTCTATCCATTTGAGTTACTGAGCAACCAAAACGGGCTTCCCTTGATAAGCATCAAACAAATCATCATCAGTGTTTGTCCGAATGCATTAACACGTTTTACGTTAAAACAGACTTTTTTCTGCAGTGCATCGTGGATAGTTCATGAAGAAAAAACTGTTCAATTGCTCACCAAGTGTTACATTGTTAAAATCTAAATTAATTATTAATTAGTTAAATTTATTATTTAGGTAAGATGCAGATGCATGCAAGACAATGTCAAATATTTTCACAATAAATACTATCACAATAAATAAATAAAAAAACCTTTGTTTTCCTGCAGTGAAGTAAACAAATACTTTAAATATAATATAATATAATATGCAATGTAATGTAATATAATATAAAAGTATATATATATAAAATTCCATTCAAATATCCATTTACATGAGATAATATATGATATTTAAGTTAAACTGGCACAACAAATGTGAATGATGCTCATATTTATTATTTGTTTTCAGGTCACAGCAGTGAAAATGTGATGCTTTGTTACTGTGTAACACTGCCATCATGTGGCTATTCATTACAATTACATAAAAAATGTTTAAAAATTCATCCTCACAGATGTCAGTGCTAAAAAATATCAGTTCACAATAGGACTAATATAAAACAATATCATATAAAGCATATAAAATTTGGTCCTGATGTCCAGCATTCAGCCCTTGTGATGCTTCTCATCTTTATTTGAATTGACTGGATCCGCCAGCATTTGACAGATTAAAGACTGAATAAGGAACAGTGATCAATGACAGTGGTGTCTTCACAGTGTTTGAGTTCTTCATTAAAGATCTTCAGCTGTGAAACTAAAGATGCTTCAGAGGCCGGTGATGCTGTGTCAGACTTTTCATGCAGTTGTTGTTAATTTGAGTTCTTCCATGTCGGTAGAACAGGGATTTTTGAGTCGGTTTCTCATTGGTTTGGATGTCCGGTTTGAGATCAGATGAATCATGGCCTTTAACGTTTTTCTGTGCAGGTGCAGAAGCTTCTGTGAAATCAAACTCAGCCGACTCACTTGAATCACCGGTAAAAGAAAACTAAAACCTTTTGTTTTGACTCTGTTTGTCTGTTTTCCCAGACTGCTGTCTGTGATCTTCAGGAGTGTCCAGTCTCACGCTGTTAAAGGGATAGTTCACCCAAAAATGAAAATGTGATGTTTATCTGCTTACCCCCAGGGCATCCAAGATGTAGGTGACTTTGTTTCTTCGGTAGAACACAAACTGAGATTTTTAACTCAAACCGTTGCAGTCAGTGCTGGGGAAAGTTACTTTTAAAAGTAATGCATTACAATGTTGCGTTACTCCATAAAAAAGTAACTAATTACGTTACTTAGTTACTTTTTATGGAAAGTAATGCGTTACGTTACTTTTGCGTTACTTTTTAAATCTGGACAGGGCTTGCTTGTTTGAATACTGAATCTGTGTGTTTTTTGTTTTTTTTTTGTGAGTGAGATGAATTAATGCATATTCATATTTATTTTAGAACTACAGTAACATCTTCTGATTTCTCTCAACATGGGGACAGGAGAGCTGTCAGTCAATAAATTGAAAAAAAAAAAAGTAACTTGCGTTACTTATTTGAAAAAGTAACTCAGATATTCTCTTGTAAATTAAAAAGTAATGTGTTACTTTACTCGTTACTTGAAAAAAGTAATCTGATTACGTAATTCGCGTTACTTTACCCCCAACACTGGTTGCAGTCTGTCAGTCATATAATGGAAGTCAATGGGCTCCACGGCTTTGAGAGTAAAAAAACATACACAGACAAAACCAAATTAAACCCTGCGGCTCGTGACGATACATTGAGGTCTTAAGACACGAAATGATCGGTCTGTGCAAGAAACTGAACAGTATTTATATCATTTTTTACCTCTGATTCACCGCAATGTCCAACTGTCCTGAGCACGTTGACAACATCCGGCGGCATTTGTGTTCTACTGAAGAAACATAGTCACCTACAT